AGATCCCCTGGAGGAGGGCGTGGCAATCCACTCCAGTATTCTTGCCTGGAGAATGCCATGCACAGAGGAGCCTGGAAGTCTACAGTCCACAGGATCTCAAAGAGTCAGACATGACTGAAGTGACCTAGCAGGCTTGCACACAAGAGCCTGTGAGCTTTCCTGGATCCCATGTGTAATCTTGCTAGAGACAAGAAGGGCTTGTGTAAGGCTGGACCCAAAGAAGGACTTCCCTTGTCAGCATAAGATGAGAACCCTCCACCCCAGCATAGTCACTGTCTCTCCTTCCCGATTCCCTCCTCACCTGATGGCATCTTCCCCCATGCAGGAAGGATGAGGGAGGCATAGCCCTGGCTGTGGTCCAGGGACAATGCTGGACCATGTGTTCTAGTAGGGAAGACAGACTGGAAGCTTACTGTGGCTTCTTGGATCTAAGCTTTAGTTCCATGGAATCCGGAGAGGAGAATCCGGAGGGTCAACCCATGAGAGCTTCCTGTAAGTGGGGGATGGAAAGCAGCCTTGAAAAAATAAAAAACCTCCTGGAGCTGGTCTTGCCTCCAGTCCCAAGGAGACCGTCAGAGCCTTGCAGAGGCCCCTGGAGGTGCCCTGAGGAGAGCAGAGCAGGCCCCTTTAGCCTGGTCCTCCCCAGCCTTGCACCAGCTGCCTTCCTGAATGTTCCCTTGCAGAAGTCCTTTTAAAAACCAAACAAGGCCAGAAATTGCTGGCTCTGGAAATTGCTGCTGTAAGTGATTGCTCTGGACTCTGTTGGCTTGCAGGTGGGTTGCAACGGAGGAATAATCACTAAGAGGCATAAACTGGTGAAGGGGCTGAAGAAGGTTGAGGAGGTCGACAAGGATCCTGAATTAGTGGCCCAGTGAAACTACTATGCTCTAAGTCAGGAAATATTAAGACAACCAGTAGTTGCCTGTGAACTTGGCGGACTTTACAACAAAGATGCCATCATTGAGATTTTATTGGCCAAATCTTCCCAAAAGGCTCTTGGGAAGTCAGCCTCTCACATTAAAAGCATTAAGAATGTGACAGAACTGAGGCTCTCTGACAACCCCGCCTGGGAAGGTGATCAGATGACCTCCAGCGAACATGTTTTATCTGCCCCGTCGTGGGCTTGGAGATGAACGCCGACACAGGTGCTACTTCCTCCAGTGCTGTGGTTGTGTGTTTTCTGTGCGAGACCTCAAAGAGATCAAAGCAGAAGTTTGTCACACGTGCAGGGCTGCCTCCCAGGAGGGGACCGGGTCATCAGGCTCAATGGCACCAAGGAAGGTGTGGAAGTGCTGCTGAAGAGCAGGATGGAGGAGCTGCGGCTGCGAGCCAAGCTGGGGAAGAAAACAAAGGAACCCAAGGTGCCAGAGTCTGTCTCAAAATCAGGTGTCAGTGAAGAAGCCCCAGGACCATCAAAAATGAAGACAGGGAAGCCCGAAGAACCCAGTCTTGACTCTCGAGAGAAGAAGACCAACTCAGCTCCCAAAAGTGCAGCAGCACCTGGGAGCGCTTCTGGAAAAGCCACCAAGAGGTCCATCGCTGGCAGCGAAGAGTCAGAAGCTTACAAGTCTCTCTTCACCACCCATAGCTCTGCCAAGTCCTCCAAGGAGGAGTCGGCCCACTGGGTCACCCACACGTCCTACTGTGTCTGAGGCCTGCGGGGCAGCCTCCCCAGGCCCTGTGCACTCGCTTGTCCCCTTAAAGCTGAAGCCACTTGAGTAGGAAGGCGTAGTGGGGACTCAGTGACCCTGCCGGCCCCTGCCTATCACCCTCTCCCGGTCACCTCCAGCCTCTGTGCACTTGGGCCTTCCCACGGCCCCGAGAGCATTTTGGCCACATATTTACACTCAAAATAATTAAAGACTCCAGATTCCTCCTGGGTGTGTGATCAGCTCATTTTGACTGAAATTCTCGTGGTGTTGCTGCCAATGGTTAATTAATTAAATAAGCAGAGTGAGATTGAACTTGAGAAAGGAAAAAAAAAAACAAAACCACTGTCCTTGGACATTTCCAGCCTCTGACACCCCACTTGCACCCACAGCTAGATTGTCCTTCTTCCTTCCTCCCACCCAGACTCCCATGACAATGTGTCACCATTTCTTGTGGACTGGGCATCACTCTGGCCAGACTCTAAAGTCCCTGTCACCCTTGGCCCCCGCCACCCTCATCACTTCCCCTTGGATGCAGGTGGGTTGAGCAGGCACAGGAGGAAATATTTCTTGCCAAAAGGTCCCTGGACCAGGAAGCTGCAGGCGAGTGAGACCTGGGGCAGGGACAGAAAGTTGTGCCAGCCTGAGCCATACTAGAATCTGCCTATCCTGTCTCCTACTAACCCACTCTTCATTCATGGAGCATCTCCCTGTGCTGGGCATGCATCATGACAGCTGCAGTGATGAGCCCAATTCTCTTCTTGTTGCTCACGATGTTCGGGAGACTCTGATCAGAAAGTCATCACGACAGAGGGAAAGTGCTTTGTGTCAGGAGACAATGTGACGTGTGACAGAGGCTTCTGATGGGTGCGTGTCAGACTTCCCTAAAAGAAAGTAACTTTGGGACTTGCCCGGTAGCCCAGTGGTTAAGAAACTGCCTTGCAATGCAGAGGACAGGTTTGATCCCGGGTCAGGGAAGGAAGGTCTGACATGCTGCAGGGCAACTAAACCTGCACTGCGACGAAAATCCCGCGTGACACTAAGACCTGATGCAGCCAAATAAATAAATATTAAAAGAAAAGTAACCTTCACAAAAAACGAAAGTGTCCTTCCAGTGAGGACAGGGGCAATATAGGGGTGGGGAGTGGAGGTCACCGCAAAGTACTGAGTGCCAGATAGGATCAACGATGTTTGTTCAATGCAGGGAATATTGACAATATTTTTAAGAACTGTAAATGGAAAGTAACTGTTAAAAATAATAATAATTCAGATTTCCCTGGTGGTACAATGGATGGGAATGCCAATGCAGGGGACACAGGTTCAATCTCTGGTCAGAGAGAATTCCACATGCCATGGAGCGACTGAGCCCGAGGGCCACAAAAGCTGAAGCCTGGGATGCCTAGGGCCCAAGAGCCTCAGCCTCTAAGCCTGGTGCTGCAACTACTGAGCCTGGATGCCACAACTACTGAAGCCATGAGCCTAGAGCCTGTATTCTGAAACAAGAGAAGGCACCACAATAAGTCCACGCCCAGCGAGGCAGGGTAGACCCTGTTCACTGCAGCCAGAGAAAGCCCTTGCACAGCAACAAAGACCCAGCACAGCCAGTGATAAATAAATAAACAATTTAAAATAGTTGCAATAACCTTTTAAATTTTATTCTTTTTTCTATTTTATTTTTGGTTGCATTGAATCTTTCTGGCTGCGTGCAGTGCTCACTCCAGTTGCACCAAGCCAGGGCTATACTCTACTTGCGGTGCCTGGGCTTCTCCTTGCTGCGGCTTCTATGTTGCCAAGCACAGACTCTAGAGCTCTTGGGTTTTAGTATCTGTGGCTGCACCTCAGTAGCTGTGTTGCATGAACTTAATTGCCTCCTGGCATGTGGAATCTTCCCAGACCAGGGGTCAAACCCGTGTCTCCTGACTTGCCAGGAGGATTCCTAACTGCTGGACCACCAGGGAAGTCTAATTTTTTTTTTTTTTTAAGTGATGATCGAGGAATTCCCAGGTGGTACAGTGAATAGGACTCTGAGTTCACACTACCGAGGGCCCAGGTTCAATCCCTGGCTGGGGAACTAAAATCCCACAAGGCCAAGGATGGCCAAACAACAAAACAAGAAAAGGGGACTTTCAGTAACCTGGAAACAATGCTGGCTCACTGCCTCTGGTCAGGCCTGAACAAGGTCCTGGTCACAGTGAACACTGGCCCCCGACCACTTGGAGCATGTGCCCACAGCCCAGTGGTCTCTCTGTTGGAAGGTCTCCCCACTCCTTAGCATTTTCCACAAAGCCACGCCCCCAGAGGTCTCTCCACGGGGGCCTAAGCTACTCCTCAGGGATTAAAGCTTCCTGCACATCCTCTACCTCTCAAGGCCAGGCCCTGGGGTAAAATGGGGAGCCCTGCTATTCAGGGTACACACCCACAAGGCGAGCCCCACTGGCCCAGACCTCTGGCCTTGGATGGGCCCCAGTACCACCTGGAGTCAATGACCAGATCCCAGATCAGATTGCTGACTTTCCAGATCTGCAATCAGAAGGGATTTGTCAAGTCGGCAATGAAACACTGGTGAGAAACACGGGGGTGGCCAGGCAGGATTTCTAGGGCAGTGCTGCTGGGGAGAAGCCCCACCCCCAAGGGCCCAGAATCAGGCATCCCTTATGCCCCCAGAACCTCCCCGGTGCCAGTCTTCTCTTTGGGGGAGAATGAGCCCTTCCACAGTTTCTCTGCCCACCGGGGGGGTTCTGGGTGGAAAGACACAGGAAACACTGGGCTGCTGCTGAGAGTGGCTCTATGCATGTTCCAGGCCCCAGGGCCTCCTCCTGCCCTTCCACACCTGAAGCTTCTACCTGCTCTGCTCCCAGGTTCCCCAGCCCGCTCCCCACTCCTGGGCTCAAGGCCCCCGCATGGTTGGGAGGTGAAGGTCCCCCGTTGGGGCCTGAATACTTGGTGCCAGCCCCGCCCCCAGGCTGGCATTGGGCAAACCCACCAGCCCTGAACTCTGTCCCACCCGATCCCTCAGGAAGGAGAGGGACTTACTTGAAGGGGTCTCAGTGGCCACCCGTCTTATTCTCTTCTGCCCACACTGCAGGCCCCGATCCACGTACAGTGACCCAGGGGGCTGGCTCAGCACACGTGGACTTGGGGCACGGGGTCCCTGTGGAGCCACCCAGGTGGCTGCTCCAAGAGCACACCCTGTGCGTCGGGGTCTCTGCCCACAGTCACCACCTTATCACTAGGCGGCCTCAGGGTCCTGGAGGAGTGTGCGTGGGGACTGAATTTCACACTGGGAATATACATGTGGGATTACTGTGTTTGTCCTTAGGGTTGATGCCCCCACACCAAGTATTGCCTCCGAGTAGCCTAGACACTCCCAGACCTGCAAACACTAGGGCGTGCTCATCCAGGATCTGTGATATCATGCAGTCAGGGCTGGGACTCAGTGGGTGGGCTCTCTGCCTTCTGCAACCCTTTCCCCACAAAATTTCTACTGCACCTGGGGGTAGACCTCGGTGGCACATCCCCTATCCCGCTTCCCAGCCCCAAGCAGTGGCCAGCCCAGACCAACCCACTGGAGAAGTTCATGGTAAGTGTGGGGAGCCTGGAGACGGCGGGGGTTCTGAACATAGTCTCCACATCCACAGGCGATCTCTGGAGGCCACAAGGGCTTGGTCACTGAGACCAGAAAGGCTTCCAGCATCCAGTCTGGGAGTCCTGCTGGCAGAAGGGGAGCACCTGGGAGTCTCCACTGCCCTGCTGCCCTCCCCCACCATGAAAACCCTGCAGAAACAGCAGCTAGAAGTACTGAGCACCTACAAATACGTGTTCTGTTTCCTCTTCATGGGTGAGGGGAACCAAGCTGGGGTCCACTAGGGAAGATGGAAAGGGGGAAGGTGGGAGAGAAAGGCTGGAGCCCACCCTCACCCGGACCACTAGGGCCAGGGAGGGAGGGCCCAGAAGTCCAGCTGGGAGACCGGCAGGGGTCTCACTGGTGAGAGTGGAGAAGTCTCTGCAGTTTCAGAAGATAAATCATTCTCCTTTCTCACTTGAACCCAGGCCCTTTCTTTTCCCTTCTTGGCGTCTTCCTCCTCTTCACCTCCCTCTGGTGGCTCTCTGCTCTCTACGCGGTGTGGTTATTCCTGGACTGGGACACACCCTGCCAAGGTGAGCGCTTAAACAAGGGCCCATGTAGAAGAGGTGATAAAGGGTGTCTGTAGGAATTCTTCCCCCACACTTACCTGTCTGCTCAAGGAGGAAGGCGTTCTCAGTGGATGAGGAATTGGGTTCCTTGGAAACAGCTGAGGGATTATTTCCCCATTAAGGTAACAGGACACCCTTCAAGGCATGTTCTCCCCCTCCCACTCCCCTACCCCACCACCTCCTCACCCCTCCTCACCTCTCCCTGTGACGGCTGCTTCAGTTCAGTCAATCAGGCAGCAAGCGTGATGGTTCAAGAGTGAACCGTGTGCCCTTGACCGCAACTTTGATTCTGAACTCTGAAGTCTGTTAGTGTGGAGGGAGGTCTTGTCCCGTAAGTCTTCTATGCTTATTTCCCTCACCCTGTCCCCTGCCCCCGACAGCTGATAAAAACAGCAGAGCTGCCCTCAAGCAGGAACTGTGTGCTTGTCACCCACCCACATGGGATCCTGAGCATCGGAGTCTTCTGTAACTTCTGCGCTGAGGTCACTGGCTCCTCGCAGCAGTTCCCCAGACTTCAGTTCTCGTTGGCCATATTGAACAGTCTCTTTTACCTCCCAGTCTATCGAGACTATGTTATGTCCTATGGTAAGTCTTGAGCCGAGTGACAGAGGTAACTCCATCTGGCCGGAGTGGTCCCCACTCACAGCCTACTGCAGGCACTCGGCTTAAACTCACAGTGGAGGGTCAGGAAGTGGCTTTGGAGCAACGGTTCTGCATCCTTGCTGGGAGAGGCGCTGGGGACAGGGGTAAGGAGTTTGGAAAGAAAGCGTGGTATCTCACTCTTCCTGTGCTAAAGGGAGAAGAGACTAGGGAGCCAAGGAGTGGGTAAGATCTGTTCCTGCACCCCCTCCTGTCCACAGGAACATGTTCCGTGAACCATCAGAGCCTGGATTTTATTCTGTCTCAGCCCCAGCTCGGCCAGGCTGTGCTCATATTGGTCGGGGGAGCCCTCGAGGCCCTGCATGCCGTCCCAGGGGAGCACCGCCTCACTCTCTGGAACCGTAAATGTTTTGTCCGCCTGGCACTGAGGCACGGGTGAGCGAGGACCCAGCCGGGGCTGCCTCCAATGGTCAGAACCTCTGGGGATCTACACTCTATGCCTACACACCCGCCCCCTGGACATGGACTGTGTGTCCCCAGAGCTTACACGGTGACCACCTCTAGAGGGCGCTCTGGGCAGCCCTTCAGTGTTGGCTGGCTGCCCAGCCCTGAGCCCCTTCCCCAGGCTTCCTCCCACGCAGAGAGAGACAGGGTCACAGTGCCAATCGCTGGACCCTGGGGCTCAGACTCCCTCAGCTCACATTCTTTTATGACACCTTCTCACAGGCAAGACCTTGCATGCTGCTTTACTTGCGAAATAGAGTGAATATTCACTTTGCACCTTGTTGAGACTATATCAGAAAATGTATATAGGACAGCCCAGTACACAATCCTCTTAAGAAATGTAAGTCCCTTCTTCCAGATCTTTCTTCATAGCCCCTGTCATTGCTTCAGATGGCCTTGGGAAGTGGGAAGCTGTGGGGGAGGAATGTGGGGGCACTCCTAGAGCCCCTGATCTGACCAGCCCTCTTCTCTCTTGTCTCCCCACATTCCCAGCGCCTCTCTGGTGCCCGTGTACTCCTTTGGGGAGAATGACATCTTCAGAGTTAAGGTTTTTGCCCCAGACTCCTGGCAGCGTCTGTTCCAGGTCACCATCAAGAAGCTCCTGAGCTTCTCTCCTTGCATCTTCTGGGGCCGTGGTCTCTTCTCAGCCAAGTCCTGGGGCCTGGTGCCCTTGGCCAGACCCATCACCACTGTGGGTGAGTGCCCGTGTCCAGGGAAGAAGGCTGCTATCCACTGTGTGTGCAGCCGAGGCCCCTCCCCTGACCTGAGTCCCCCTGTCCCTGCAGTGGGCCGCCCCATCCCGGTGCCCCAGTGCCCGCAGCCCACCGAGGAGCAGGTGGACCACTATCACACGCTGTACACGAAGGTTCTGGAGCAACTGTTTGAGGAGCACAGGAGAGCTGTGGCCTCCCGGCTTCTACTCGCCTCACCTTCATCCAGCCCTGGCCTCACCCCTGTGCCCCTCCCAGCCTGCCCCCCGCCCCCAGCCCCTGATCCCAGCGCCTGAGAACCCCACCTACTGCCACGCTACTGTGCCAATAAAAGTTCTCTCACCACTGCTTGGTAGAGTCAGATGCCTGCAGAACTCAGGCTCTCCCTCTGTGTGTGAGCCTGCCCACGTGGAATCCACCTCTATCCTAATGGGTACAGTTTCTGCCTTTGACCGAGTATCAGACCCATACATTCTTCCTCCCAGAAACTTAATTCTGCTGCATGAGTTTGCTTAAGTCTCTTCCTTTGGCGGGGTCCCTTCTCCCTCTGTAAATAAAGGCATGTCCTTAGCTAGGAGCTGTCAGGGAGGGGAGCTCCCCAGAGGGCTTGGCTTTTAAGAGAGAACAAGGTTAGATAGGAAGAGTCAATAGTGTAGATGGTGAAATATCATGAACAAAAGCTGATAAGGGTCAAGGGCACCTGCCTGGAGGGAGTGTTGGACCGGTCTCCCGTGACAGAAAAGATAGAGTTAAGTGCATAGCTTCCTTCTGCATCTCTTCCCATCCTTCATGTTCCCTGGGGGCTGGGAGACCAGATGAAGTAGGGATTTATTTTACCAGCTTGCAGCCCTACTGCAAGCCTAGCCTTAGGTCCATGTAAACTCATTTGCTCAAATAGAGAGAACTGTTGTGCGAATAAAATTATTAAGATTTAAGGAAAAAAAAAAGATTTAAGGACTTAGTACAGAGGTTGGTTATATGAGCCAATGAATTTACTGTGATCATCACCTTCATCATCACAGTCAGAGCATGAAGGAAAGGAGATGGCCAACTGAAACAGTCTGAGTGACTTTATGAGGTCATAGCATCCTTTGACTTGTGTCCGTCCTATTTGCTGACTGGCTTTGTCTGGATCCATAACTTAAACGAGAAGAACTTGTTCAAATGTAACTGAGGGCAATTCTGTCTTCTGCCATCTCAGAGAGTTTATTCAGTGGAAGAATTTTTCTTTTGTCACTAGATAAAAATCTTGGCAGTCCTGTAACTTATCTGGACTCAGGTGATAGATGAGTTCTACATTCACTAGTGTTGGTACCTAGAAAAGCTCAGCGGGATTAGCAATCAACACTTCAGTCTTCACCAAGGACAGAAATTTCCCGTCTAGAGCGAGAGTGAGTTGGTGATAAGTGGTGGGTGGGAGTTGGGGGGCACCTGCTTGGCCAGAAATAGAGGCAGTGGAGGGATGTGTCACTCCCTTGCTCACCAGCAAAAAGGGAGCCCCCAAGTTCTTGGTTGCTCTGTCCTAAGGAAGCAATGTGTTCTCTGAGTTCTGAAGTTAATTTCTTTTCCTTGTGAGTCTTCTCATGGATTCTTTGGAGTTTTCCCTTAGATCCCCTGGGAGCTTCTGTACCTCAGCATTGGGCCCTGGTTTTCTGCCCATGGATTCAATGTAGGTTTTCCTGTAGGAACTCCATCACTCTCCCAGGTCAGAGGATGAGGAGAGAGATGGGAGAGAGGGATGGGGAAAAAAAAAAAAAACAGCTCCAGGCTTGGGCATCCTTGGCCCGGATACACTTGGGGTCATCCACTTGTCCAGCCTTCTTTCTTGGATGGGCATATCCAGTCAGCCACTCCATTTCTCGCACAAGCACAGCCCCTAAACACTGGGGACATCCCAAGGTCCTTTGAGTCTTGAAGCCTTTCTTCACCAACCTGGTTGACTTCCCCTTTGCAGGTAGGGCTCTAAAAGTCCTCCCCAAACCCCTTTCCCTTTCTTCTCCCAACTCTGATTTATGATGGGAAAGGGGCTCAAGAGTTGCTTCTCAACCATTGGCTTGGAAAACACTGCATGTGATATGCTCTGGCCCTTTTTGGAAAGCAGGACCTATTTATTGTATGTTCATGAAGAGCCCAGACTTCAAGATCAGCATTGTATGTTTTTCCCTAGATTCTTACCCTGAGGGGCACTACCAATAGCTGGGATGCAAGAATCAGATCCTCCTCCCTGTGAGCAGTAGATGCCTTTCTCTGGAGCAGTGGGGTTCTGCCAGGTGGTAGGTGAGTAATAAGACCTTTGTATAGGAGTAGGGGTGGGGGAGGGAGGAGGGGACTTCATCTCCCATCAGTTCTTTGAAATCCAAGACCAACAAAACGGGTTGCAGGGTCGGGGGGCGGGGGATGGCCTGAGTCTGGAGAGGGGTAGAAGCCAAGAAGTCCAGTGAGAAAGTGAGACAAGCCCCAGAGGCAGAGATGTAATCAAAGGGGAAAAGTGTTCCCAAGACCCGTGATGCCAGTTGGGTGGGTTTCTTAGAAAAGGGGCCAGATTTGATGCCAATGGAGAGACAAGAGTCTGAAGGGGATGTGACCCTCCATGGAAAGCATCTGGGTCGGGGTGGGGGCCACCACACAAAGCAGAAAAGTGCAAGAAGGTCAAGACCAGCCTTCTGGGTCTGGAAAGGAGACTCCGCATCCAGAGGTGAGTGGGCCAAAGAGGATGCATTGTTACTGCTGAGGATTATGGGAAGTGTGCTGAGCCACGAAACTTGGAAACATGACAGGTGCGCCACTCCCATTAATGTCCCTCCAGGGCCCTCTTGAGTCAGGTAAGTGCCGCCTGCTGATGACTTGCCAGCCTGGCCTCCTTCCTGTCCCATGTGACCAGCCACAGGCAGCCTCCTCCACCACCATCCCCCTTCTAAGGGTGCACCTCTCTCCAGGAAGCCGTCCAAAACTGGGAGGAAGCCATGGGCCATGCTTCTCACCCATTGCTGAGCCTCCCCAGGCAAGCTCTGACCCCAGCCTCTCTAAGGGCACAGGAAATGTCCCCTCACTCCCTTTCCCTCCTGTCACCTGGCTTTCTAGCCCTCCCGCAGCAGACACCTGTCTTGGGTGAGACTTGGTCTAAGGAGCCACAGCCTGGCATGAAGAAGGGTAGACAGTCACGGTGGCAGGGCCCTGGCACAACTTCCCGCAGGTCCACGGGGAACACAGACCACATCCAGGCAAGGGGCACAGCCCGCTGGACTGAGATACCAGGTAAATCATTTCAAATGGCCTTTCTGTTTAGAACACTTTAGGGCATGATGGATGTGCTCACTGTCTTCTTTAAAAAAATGCATGTTTATTTGTTTATTTGGCTGTGCTGTGTCTTAGTTGCAGCATGTGGATTTCAGCAGTTCTGGCACCAGGCTCTCCAACTGTGACACATAAGTGCTGCCAGGCCAGAATTGCAAGTCTCGGGAGTTGTGTGGGCTTTGTTACTCTGCAGCATATGGGACCTTAGATCCCCATCCAGGGATCCGACTTCTGTCCCCTCTATTGCATGGTGGCTTCTTCACGACTAGACCACCGGGGGAGTCCCCAGAATGGCGTTTTGCACATCAGTCCCAGCAGCCGCTTTCCTGTGGGTTCCACACTTGGAACTAAACCCCTCAACTCAACTGTCAGCCTGGCTGGTGATTCAGACCCAGATCCAGGCCCTCACAGGAATCGAGATGAAACAGGACACGTTTGAGCCTAGGCCTCAGAGGAGGCAGCCTGTTCCTTCTGGTTCCAGCCTCCAGGTCCTGGGTCCTCAAAGAGAAGTGTGCCACGTGGCTGCCCTGATGCTGTGACACTGGTCATTTCGGGGGAGCAGAGATAGGACCGCACTGGATGACATATATTTCCAAGGAGAGACTTGACCAAAAACCTGGGTTTGTGGACCCAGAGTGGTCCATGGACCATCTCAGCACTGATGGGGAAGCCCTAGGGAGAAAGGGCCACTGAGTGGTCAGCACAGAAAGAGCATCCAGCAGCAAGTCCCACAGACCTGGCACCAGCAACTGACCGTGACCTTGGCCAAGTCACTTAACTTTCCAAGCCTCAGTTTCCCCCTGGTACCATGGAGCTACTTACTTCAGAGTTGTGGGATCTTTAAACTTTTTACTGAAATATAACACAGTGAAGTCAAAGTGTTAGTCCCTCAGTCGTGTCCAACTCTTTGAGACCCCATGGACTGTAGCCCGCCAGGCCTCCTCTGTCCATGGAATTCTCCAGGCAAGAACACTGGAGTGGGTATCCATTCTCTTCTCCAGAGGATCTTTCCAACTGAGGGATCAAACCTGGGTCTCCTGCGTTGCATGTGGATTTTTTTTTTTTTAACCATCTGAGCCACCGTGGAAGCCCCTCACCAGGTCACCTTGTGACCCAAGTCACAAGGACAACAGCTGAGTTTTTCATCAACTGAACTTACACAGGATGGTCCTGGGAAGTGAATGAGATGCACTCAAGCTTCTAGGACAGCAGCTCTGGCGTCTTTGTGTGTGGGTTGAGGAGAACCGTCACCCACTGGCTCCCCCGTTACACAACCCTTGGATTTCTCTGCTGGGTGCTTGACCACACACCTGGCATGGAGCCAGAAGCAAACATCTGGAAGCCTTTTCAGAGAAAGCAGAGATGGGTCAGCATGGGGAAGGGCTTGGCTGGGGCAGAGCCTTTAGAACTGGTAGAGGAGTTGACCCAGGAGGCCGGAGGAGGTTAGGGGAGATCAGAGCATCTTTACAGCTGTTTGGGAAGCTCCAGCCCCAGATAGAATCCCACTGGGTCAGACTTCAGCCTGTGACCAGCGCCATGCCCACTCAACTGCTGCACATACAGACCCTGAAGTGGGCTTCTCCCCACTTCTTCCACTGGTCCTTTCGCCTGAGCTCTAGCCCCTGTGTGTCCTCCCCAACTGCTTGTCCCTCTGGCCCCAAAAAGCCAACCTCTGTGTGTGTGTGTGTGCGTGTGTGTGTGAGTCACTCAGTCATGTTCAACTCTTTGTGATGCCAAGGACTGTAGCCTGCCAGGCTCCTCTGTCCCGGGAATTCTCCAGGCAAGAATACTGGAGTGGGTTGCCACTCTCTTCTCCAGGGGATCTTCCTGACCCAGGGATGGAACCTGGTCTCCTGCATTGCAAGCAGATTCTTTACCATCGGAACCATCAGGGAAGCCGAAAAAGCCAACCTATCTACAGACAAAGCCTAGAGTCTTTGTATCCAATGAGTTCTATATCCTGTACTACCTGCTGCCACCAGACAACATCATTCCCTGGTTCCATGTTGGGGATGCCAGAATCACCTTCACCTCCTTCCTCTCTCTGCACCTTCCAGAAAGCCAGTCACACTTCCTGGCCTCCTGACTTCCTGCTATGTGCTTCTTAGCTCCTTCTCTTACTCCAGGCCCCCATTCTTCCCATGGACTTCCTCTGGGACCACTCTTCAGCGAGCAGAGGTCTTGCCTCTCATCTCCCATCTAACACCTTCTCACGCTGGCAAGATGAGAGATGGCTTTTCTTAAAACACTGCTTTCATCATGTCATTGTTCCCACTCACTGGTGTTGGAGCCTCATTGTTAGAAGGTATGAACTCCTCGGCACAGCATTTGAGACACTCCATACACAGAGCCCAACCCAGACACACAAAAGTATTGTCTGCGTGTGTCTAGGGTTGCATCCACTGAGAGGTGGTCTTTGTGCAAATTAGAAAAGGAATTTTCCTGGTTGGGCAATAACAAACATTTGCTATTTTCGAGCATTTCTTTGGGGAAATGCATGTGCCAGGTGCACGGAGAGAAGATGGATCACTAGACTTCCTAAAGGATCTATTCTCAGAGCTATTAAGGAGTTTCCCTGCACCATTTCTCCTCCCATGTATTTCAGTAATAACTCCCTGAACTGTGTGAGTTCTCCTCCGATCTGGAAGAGTCCAGTTTATGAATCTAAGCCTTTTTGTTGTTGTACTGTCACTAAGTCATGTCCGACTCTTTGCAACCCCATAGACAGCAGCATGCCAGTCCATGTCCTTCATGTCCTCCATGGAGGATGCCAAGCTCCTCTGTCCTCCACTGTCTCCCAGAGTTTACTCAAATTCATGTCCTTTGAGTCTGTGATGCTATCGAACCATCTATCTCATCCTCTGCCACCCTCTTCTCCTTTTGCCTTCAGTCTCTCCCAGCATCAGGGTCTTTTCCAAAGAGTTGGCTCTTCGCATCAGGTAGCCAAAGTATTGGAGCTTCAGCTTCAGCAGCATTCCTTTCAATGAATATTCAGGGTTGATTTCCTGTAGGATTGACTGATGTGATCCTCTTGCCTTGTAAGCACAGCCTCTTGTCAGGACGTCTTCCTTCCCTGCCATTCTTCGTGTAGCCACCAGAGGGCGACCTCTACTCATAAGGCAAATCTGTCGATTTCCTGCTTAAAGCCCTTGGCTGAATGGCCAGTCCCAGTCTACAGGATGGGTGCAACCCAGCATTGCTTGTTCTTGCAAAGCAGGCTGTTTCTCAGCTCTGGACTTAGCTCAGGTTTCCCCTCCCGCAGGAGGGACCCTGCCCTTCTTTGCTGTCTGGAGAGGAATTTTTGAGTTTTAGTTTGCGTCTCACTTCCAGGATATATCCTTTGACCTGCCAACCTGCCAAGCTGGTCCAGGACACTTTCCCCTCTGCATCCACGCCGCACTTCCTGAAGATCCAGCACCGTCTTCTATGTCGCTTTAAAACATCAATTTATCAAAAGAGTTGGATAGCTTCAGCGTTAATAAGAACAATAACTGTGTTGATTGCATCACATTTTTGTGTTTTGGTCACTATGTCGTGTCCGACTCTTTGCGACCCCATGGACTGTAGCCCATCAGGCTCCTCTGTCCTTGGGATTTTCCAGGCAAGAATACTGGAATGGGCTTGCCATTTCCTACTCCAGGGGATCTTCCCGAGCCAGGGATCAAACCCATATCTCCTGCATGGGCAGGTAGATTCTTTACCATTAAGCCACCTGGGAAGCCCTAATGCATTACATTAAGCTTGTTTAAAATCCATGAGTTCATAATGGTTCTGAAAGTTAATAATTTATCACCACTGAGGGATGCTGGGGAACCACCACATTATTTCAAAAGTTAACAAATAAAGGGGAAAATTCAAGCATTTACGTGGTCTTTCCATCACAAACTATCTCTGAGAGTAATCATAGTAGAAGACAGCAAGTTTCCTTTAATAGGCGAATTCCAGTTAGGGAAAAAAGGAGAAGAAGAAGAAGAAAACAATGAAAGAACAAGAATATCACTATTTTGCAGCTCCTAACTGTCAAGGCTGTATATTGTCACCCTACTTATTTAACTTATATGCAGAGTACATCATGAAAAACTCTGGGCTGGAAGAAGCACAAGCTGGAATCAAGATTGCCAGGAGAAATATTAATAACCTCAGATAGGCAGATGACACCACCCTTATGGCAGAGAATGAAGAGGAACTAAAAAGCCTCTTGATGAAAGTGAAAGAGGAGAGTGAAAAAGTTGGCTTAAAGCTTAACATTCAGAAAACTAAGATCATGGCATCTTGTCCCATCACCTCATGGGAAATAGATGGGGAGACAGTGGAAACAGTGTCAGACTTCATTTTGGGGGGGGGGCTCCAAAATCACTGTGGTTGGTGATTGCAGCCATGAAATTAAAAGATGCTTACTCCTTGGAAGGAAAGTTATGACCAACCTAGATAGCATATTAAAAAGCAGAGACATTACTTTGCCAACAAAGGTCCATCTGGTCAAGGCTATGGTTTTTCCAGTGGTCATGTATGGATGTGAGAGTTGGACTGTGAAGAAAGCTGAGCACCAAAAAATTGATGCTTTTGAACTGTGGCGTTGGAGAAGACTCTTGAGAGTCCCTTGGACTGCAAGGAGATCCAACTAAAGGAGATCAGTCCTGGGTGTTCATTGGAAGGACTGATGCTGAAGCTGAAACTGCAGTACTTTGGCCACCTCATGTGAAGAGTTGACTCATTGGAAAAGACCCAGATGCTGGGAGGGATTGGGGGCAGGAGAAGAAGGGGGCGACAAAAGGTGAGGTGGCTGGATGGCATCACCAACTCGATGGGCATGAGTTTGAGTAAATTCTGGGAGTTGGTGATGGACAGGGAGGCCTGGCATGCTGTGATTCATGGGGTCGCAAAGAGTCGGACATGACTGAGTGACTGAACTGAACTGAACTGAACTGAACAACTGATTGGATTTAAATCTTGAGCATTCATATCTGAGAAAATTCCAATAATGCAACCATATTTGAGCCTTTTATAGAAGAATCCAGCACCACCTATAGATTGGACAGGAGAGAACTGGAATTTTGGGAAACTTTCCATTCTGATTGGTTGAGAGAACTGGAGGTGGGTGAACGCTGGACCAATCCAAGCATTTCTGATGACAGAGGGGAGGCTTCCAGAGAAAAGCAAGGAATGAGAGTACAATTGCCTCTCCTTTCGGCCACTGGTGACTTTTCCCTCCATCTTTCAGCTTGTTGAGGTCCTTTCCCAAGAATGAACATATTCCACCATAACTGCAGCTTTATGAGATGCCTAGTGTGCTAGCAGTTGCAAAAATCAGAAATGGGGGAGACTTACCTATTGGCCTGCTTGGCTTTGAACTGAAGAGATGACTCTGATCCATTTAACTCTTGGGGTGGCTTTGCTTGCCGGAGTGCGGGAACTCCTTCAAATCCTCCATCTTGTCACATTAGCTCAGCCAATGGGATCCGATTACTAGGTTGTGGAGCAAACACCTTAGAAAGCGTGAAACTAGAAAGAGGTAGGTGAGAGGCCAGCTTTGGTGGGAAGAGGAAGAATGGGAGCTGGGCAGGAGGTGGGAGGGGGGAGAAGGGACGCTGGCCCAGCCTCTGTAGCACCTTGCAGTTTTTAAAGGACATTCACATCCACCACTTTCCTGGATCCTTGCAGGTAGAACTGCAGGTGTTTTACCTCACTTCATGGGGGTGGGGAGCCCCCCACCAGGAGTTAAGAGTCTGGGCCACTAGCTTATTAGAGTCAGAGGCGACCCTGCAGTCCCTGAGGTTCCGGTCGGTGCGCTGGGCCCTTCCTTCCACCCACCGAGGTCAGCACAGGAGCCCGGCCGTGCGCACAGAGGTCTGTGTTCGTGTACTCGGATGCCCACAAGTGTCCCTGGAAGTCCACAGGTGTACGGCCCCGTGCACTCCTGCTGCCCCGCGGGGGCCGTGCGGCCTGACCACGGGTGAGATGCCCGCGGCTAGGCAGAGCCGAGCCGGAGATCCACGGGCGGGGGAGGGGCCCGCGAGGCTGCTCGGCGACCCCGGGGCGCGGGGGTCATTTGGCCCAGAGCAGGCCTCGCTCTGCTCCTTTCAGTGTCCCGGCTTCTGCCTTTTGGGGTCTCCTCCCTTCCCAACCGTCTTGGGTTTCCCTTTTCCTCTATCAGTTTCTCTGACCGGGTCCCCAGGGTGTTCTGCTCCGTGTCCCCTTTCTAGCTGCTCTTACTAATCTGGCGGCCAGAGGTCGGAGGGCCAGGCTGACTTTGCTGGGGACCCTGGAGAAGGGGAACAGAGGGGCGGGGGGGAACTCCCGGGACCGAACTTTAAGATCCTGCGGGCACTATGCGATAACTCTGCCAGCCGTTACTCCATTCCACCAAAGCTCAAGACACCTCCCCACCCTCAGTACCGCTCCCCACCAGGGACAACGGGGGTGTCTCATCAGCAGCCCTAGAGGTCACCCAGCTGCGCCCACCTCACCGCCCAGGGAAGCTCCGCTTTCCCCCGCGCTCCGCCACCCTATCTGCCCCGCGCCCCCCCAGCCCCCGGCCGCAACAAAGTCCGCTCCAGATCCGCGCCGGGTTTCCTCCGCATCGCTGGGGTCTCCGCCCCTCCGAGCTCCGCCGCCGGGGCCGAGCCGGAGCGTAGCGGCGGGAGCCACTCGCACCGCCCGAATCCCGAAGCACTAGGAGCCCGAGCCCGGGAGCCGCTCGGAGCGGCGGTGCTGACCCCGCCTTCTATCAGAACTCCGAGTCGGGACCGGACGGCGCGGCCGGGTCCCCGCGCCTCGTCGGAATATGACCCTTGGAGCTCGGAGGTGACCCCTCTCTGCGCGGCCGGCCTTGAGCGGCTTCTCAGCATCCCGGCCCTGGCCCTGGCTCGGGAGAGGTAGGGGGGTGCCGCGGGGTCTGGGGGCGGGAGGATGATGTGCTCCTCCCGCGCGGGATGGGGACAGCGGAAGGCCACGCCCCCCCAACCCCCCCACCCCCCAAGGAGAAGCAAGCAGCCGCGCCCCCTACGGCCCAATCCCTGCCAGTCCCGGGGATGACAGTAACTTGAGACCCGACTGGGTTCGGGTGCTCAGAGGCGCCTTCCCTTCTTCACCCCATCATCATTTGGCTCCCACCGTTCCCCAGAGTCTGGCAGTGTCCGGGGGGACCCTTGCTAAGTAGACAGCTTCCTTTGGGACCTCCCTGCCTCCTGCTTCCCCAACAGACCGGGACGACCCTCCAGTACAACACCCCCTCTCCATGATTTCGGCCCTCTGGAGCACTCCCTCTCCCCAGCTCCATGATCTTCCTCGTCCCCTGCCTCTGCCCCACTTCGCCTTGTCTCCCTGCCTCTGCCCTCGTCTGTTCTCTTTCAGCCTCTCCTCTGGTTTTCTCTTCCCCTTCCTGGACCCCTTTCCCCACCACACACCCGCGGGAGAAGGGGGTGTGTCACTCTGCTTTCTATTTCTGGTCTCCTTGGGGAGGGGGTGCAAGCTAGGAAGGTTTTTTACTTTTCTTTCTTTTTTTGGCATCTACTGGGTTCTGAATCACCAGGTGTCATGTCTGTGACTCATTATCCGTGCCCCCCCAGATCCTCTCTTGATGGCCTTTGTCTCCTTTCTGCCTCAGTTCTGATCCTTGTCTCTCTCTTCTTTGCTGCTTCTTGTAGCCGCGGTCTCTTTGTCCCTGCCTTTCCTCTCTTCATTTCGTCTTCCAGCTCAGAGAAGCAGCGACCTCGGGGGCATTAATATTTCAGGTGTGTGGGGTGAGGGAGGAGGGGAGAGGGGGGTGGGCTCCCGGCGTGCCCAGGGATGACTACAGTTATCCTCTCACCAGAGTGGATCATTCATATTTATGAGACTGAGAGAATGGATACAAGGATGATAAAGAAAATGCTGCTTCCTTTCCTGGAACCTGGCCCAGGGGTGTGCTTGGACTACATCTCCCATAGTACCCTGGGGCATAGGGCTGCCTCAGCCTCTGCCTCGGACACCTAATGGGAGTTATAATTCAAGGAGCCAGGTTGGAGGGTGGGAATGGATCAGAGTGTGTAACAGGGTTGTGGGGGCCAGCTGGTTGTTTTGGCTTGGCCTGGAACCCCTAACGTACTTTGTTCCCAGCACCCACCTCCCCCAGGGCTTAAGGACCTTGGAGCCTTTCCATCTCCTGCAAAGGGAATAGGAGTAGAGAGTGCTGGGGAAGAAAAGATGCAGGGTGAATTGGCAAGCTCCGTCTTCTTTCCTGTGGCCCTGGGAATCCCCTCCCCTTAAACATATCCGTATCTGAGATGTAGACACACTCTTTGGAAACAGTCTCCCCATCTTGAAAGAGAGGGAAAGCAACATCTAGTTGCATGTGTGGCAGTCTTCAAGTTGCTCACATTCTGCCCCCTTTGAGCAACAGTGGAGAACTGTTGGAGTTATCACTGAACTACCAGCTTGTATATTCCAGGGATTCAGGAACTGCTGGTGAGGTTGTCTGGAAATCCAAATGGGAGCCTCAAGCTAACCTACTTATCTCTGGGACCCGTCATTCCTACAGCCTGGGACAAGGAGTCTGATTGAGCTCATTTTTGGCATAGAAATTGCTGACAGTGGAGAGATGGCAGTGGGGGTTCCTCTCGCAAGCTCATCTCTGGTTCTGAGTCAGCTCAGCCCTTAGCACTTGGAACCTTTGCCTCCTGACAAGGACCCAGTCATTCCTATCCTTGCTCTTCAGGCTGGGGTCAGAGATCTCCCCACTGGCCTCAGAGCCAGGAAAATGGAACTTTTCCCCTGGCTTTGCCTAGCTGAATCACCTTAGGAAAGATCTTAACCATCTTGAGCTTCAGTTGATTTCATCTCTATGAAAGGATGGAGCTAGATGGTCCCTGATGGTCCTAGTGACCGCTCTAAGATCCTCTGAGCCTGTGCTTCCCTTCCCCCTCTTATGATACTGGCCTGAGCTATCTGACCTCACCCCAGCTTACGTGGGAGAGCCTTGAGCATCATTAGACTAAAAAAAGAAAAAAAAGGAGATGGAGCCCTTGTTTGAAATTTGCTGGTATAGGAAGCACATTGTGTTTACATAAGCCATGTTTGCGATATGGAAACTAAGCTGAAAGTGAAAGTTGCTCAGTCGTGTCCAACTCTTTGTGACCCCATGGACTATACAGTCCAGGGAATTCTCCAGGCCAGTATACCTGGAGTGGGTAGCTGTTCCCTTTTGCAGGGGATCTTCCCAACCCAGGGATTGAACCCAGGTTTCCCGCATTGCAGGCAGATTCTTTACCAGCTGAGCCACCAGGAAATCATCCCTAAGCCACCCCTTGCTGCCCTCACTGGTCCCATCTCCCAAACCTGTCACGTTCTATAAGACTGAGGCAGCCTGTGCGTCAGGGCACTTTGGGAGATATAGTTCAAGCACCCCCCTGGGCCGGGTTCCAGGAAAGGGGACATCATTTTCCTTATCATCCTTGTATTCATTCTCTCAATCTCAATCAAATTAATATCGCCCCCCCACAAAGTAGCAGGCACATGTGTCCCCTGGGATGTTGGTTACTGAGGCTTATGTAGGTTACACAAGGGAACAATTCTACCTGGCTGAAAGAGAGGAGGGGATTTGATTGGTTTATTTTGTTGATCTGGAGAAGAGAGGTGTAGAAATGAGGAGTCATCTGGGCTTCGGCAGGGAGGTTTCTCTTTGGCCCTGTCTCAGAGCAGCAGGGGCAAAGACGAACTGGATGCCAAAGGGTTAGCAGATCCACAGGGTACTGCCCCAAAAAGGAGACTTGGAGGAATGGGAAGAGCAGGGGCAGCCTGAGTGGGACATGAAACAAGGATTACAGGGAGAAATTTCCAAAGAAGAAGAAGAGAGAGAGAAGGGAAGGGACTCCATCTCTAGAGGTGAAGTCAGTGGGGAGAGGGGATAGATAATCTTGGTGGATATTTGTTTGCTGAAGCTCCAACAGAGCTTTTTTCAAAATAATCACCTAGCCCTGGAATGAAGCCAAGTCTCCCTCTGGAAAAGGAGGGAACAGACTCAAAGAGGAAGGAAAGGGTGGTTTTGATCACCCTGAGAGGAACAGCTTGACATTTTCTAATAGAACTGTTCATCTGTCCACTCCTTGGTTTATGTTTGAATATGTGGGGTGGAGGACACTGGGGCAGCAATATGGAGAGACCCAATGTCTACACCCCCATTCTTTGCTCTGAGATGAGCAGTATTGGGAGTCAGAGGCAGTTGAACCCTCTCCTTCCCCACTTTCCGCCAGCTGGGAAAGAGAGCTCTGGGAACCCTTCTGGGGAGAGTGGAGGTGATGGGAATTTCTTCACCTGTCATTCTGCAGAGAGGTGGTGCAGCCCTTGAAGGGGGGTGGAGTCACTCTATCACCACCCCCCGCCCCCAGGAGCCTTCTGTTCTTCATCTCAGTTCTGGGGGTGACCAGGGTGATCAGGGATGAAGGAATTCAAGGGGTCCTGAGTGTGTGAAGAGCATCCCAGAGGGTGGAACAGTGCAAGATTGGGAGCTCTGGGAGCTAGTGGTGGGAGGGGAGTGGCCAGCCCTCTATTCCCAGGGTCTGTGAGAAGAGAAGGGGTGTTTAAGTAGGAAGAGCTTGTGTGGATCGCATGGAGGGGGCCTGCTGTGGAAACAGGGGGCTCTGAACCCTGTGCTGGGTTCTCTCTTTTCTGCAGGATCATGATGCTGGGAGCCAGCTGTGATGGAGCCACCTCAGAGGTTTCTAAGCCTGAAAAAGATGTCGAGCCAGATGCAGAGGTATGCTCAGAGATCCCAGGAGGCCAGGGCCGAGTCCAGTTCCAGATCAGGGCTTGAGGCTGAGTTCAAGCTCCCAGGGCTAGGGACCGAGTCAGGACCTGAGGCCAAGGCCAAGTCCCTGGGTCCAAGCCCAAGTCTGGATCGGGGCCTGAGGCTGAGGCCAGCCCTTTGGACTTCATAGTGGCCACAGAAAGGGAATTTGAGGAGGTGCTGGCCATCTTGGGTGTGTGTGGTGGGGGGTATCTACGGCGACCTGACTACCTTCCCAGCCGCTACCACAGCGGGCTCTAGGATCCCGACCACAGAGCAGTGCCGGCCAAGTGCAACGAACAGGTGAGAGTCGAGGGTTTGGGAAGCAGGTGAGAAGGGGTTTGGGTGCTTGGGTCTTTGGGAGAGGACAAATGGAGCCTCTCCTCGGCCCTGGTCCGGTTGCTGAGGAAATAGACTCGGCTTTTGGAACCAAAGAGCAGGGCGTGTGGATCCAGGGGCCTGCTCAGTGGGGGGGTGTGGGGGATGTGTAGAGAGCTTGGAATGGCCGAGGAACTCAGAGACAGGTAACAGCTTCAGTATTTTAGGATTCTTTTGAGGAGCTTCTGGGGGGATAAGAGCACAGAAAGAGGGGAGCAGTCAAGGGGGAGTAGTCTGGGGATGGGAGCAGCTAGAATGGGGTCCGGACCCCTGAGTAGACTGAACTCTCCCAGCAAGAGAGCCTGTATGCAGAGCTGGCTCAGAGATGGGCTGGGGGCAGGGCTAAGAGGCAGCAGGGCGTGGCAAGCGCCTGGGGGTGGAGCCAATGCGAGGGGGCGTGGCGAACGGGCAGGGACCGATGCTCCCAGGGTCTGGAGCATCTCAAGCGGTGGGAGAGACGCCCGTGAATGATCTTTCTGCAGGCTCTCGAATCCGAGACCCGGACGCTGAAGAGAGCTCCTTGGGCAGGTCACGGGTCTGGCCTGGCGCCCCAGTGGGATGGCGACGGAGTGCGCAGCGTGTGAGAAGAGGCGAGTCCTTTGAACCGAGAGCCCCGTCGGAGAGCAACCCCCACCGCCAGCAATGGCCTCGGTTGCAGATCGCGAGGGAGTCGGTACACGGGATCGACGCCGGGGAGACGGCGCCCCCGGAGCGCCCCGGAGACCGGCTGCTAGAGCACTTCTGTTCGCAGCTGGTAAGACAGCACCCGGGGGATCAAAGTGGCCCGACTCAGCAGGGACGATCAGCTGGGGCCCCGGAAGCTGAAGAAATTCCGCCTAATCACCAAGCAGAACAAAGGAGCTCGGAGGCCAGGCCTCTCCTCAAGGGGCCTCTGGGCTTTGTCCCCTCTCATGCAGTCAGTCACCGCCTTTCTTTCGCTGCCCGCTCTGCCCAGTGGAGGCGCCCATGATCCCTGCCCTGGGAATCCCAGTCCTTACCCAGGCCCTTTTGCCCAGGGGAAATCAAACATCTTCCACTTTCAGTCTTTAAACCCTCAATCCTTACTCTGGGAGGCTGGAGCCCAGGCGCCCAGGCTTCGTGACCTTGCCTCCCCTATATGGATCCCTCCTCGGTCCGGGGACCGAAGCATTCTAATATGAGCCTTTGTCCTTTATCTCCGCCTTCCCCATCCCACCGCGATTAGGGGCCTATCAAGGTCAGCTTCCCCTGCTTCCGCTGTTGAGGCCCACACCCCCAGTTCCCCGACTACTCCACGTCCATCTGCTGTCCTCGGGGATCCAGGTATCCGAAGGCCTTGCCTCTGGCTCCTCCTTGCTCTCACATACCTTACCCCACCCGGCCTCGCACCATCGGCCCTCCCCAGGGACCCAGATGGGAGCCCATGGGTGTGACTGTGGAAGTGAAGAAGCCCAGAGGCGCCAGGCTCTCAGCCCTCCTGCCGCCCAGAGCCGTGCTCGCTCGTGCCCCACGCAGTGCATCCTTTTGGTCCAATTCAACTCGTCGGCGCTGCTCCAGCGTCTTCTCGCAGCCTCCCCGGCAGGCTGGTGGTGACCTGGCACGCCTCCTGTGTCGCCCTCCTTGCAGCGCGACGGGAGGAACCATCCCAGGAGTGGCCACCCTACTGGCCGAGTGAGAGTAACCTGCGCCTCCTGGCGGCCAAGGGCCTGGAGTGGCGCGTGGACAGCCGCGCGCACCCGTGCTGTCTCACGCTGTGCACGCGCCCTTCCGAATCCCGCACCGCGGCGACAGCATGTGGCGCTTCCTCCGCGTCGACGCCTTCAGCGGCGACGGTGCGCAGAGGCAGAGCCAGCTTCTGTAGCATCTGCAGCGCCAGAGCCCATTTCTGCCTCAGCGTCGTGTGCCAACTCTTCCCGGCGCCCCAGCTGTGGTCACAGGTGGCTGACTTCCACCAGGCTGGCTGGGGGCTCGCGCTGGTCAAGGGTTGTACTGAACAGTAGTTGCTGGAGCCCGACAACTAAGGTCTTCTGCAGTCGAGTCGGAGAGGAAAGAAAATGCACTTTAGACCCACCTCCTTTAAGTTCCGCCCCTTCCCCCTGCTCTTGGTCCTCAGTCTGTTGTTCCGTCGCTCAGTCGTGTCCGATTCTTTGCGACCCCATGGACTGCAGCTCGCCAGGCTTCCCTGTCCATCACCATCTCCCCAAGCTTGCTCACATTCATGTCCATTGAGTCTGTTTTGCCATCCAACCATCATGTCCTCTGTCGTCCCCTTTTCCTCCTACCTTCAGTCTGCCCAGAGTCAGGGTCTTTTCCAACGAGTTGGCCCTTAGCATGTGGTGGCCAAAGTACTGGAGCTTCAGCTTCAGCATCAGTCCTTCCAATGAACATTCAGGATTAATTTCCTTTAGGATTGACTGGTTGGATCTCCTTGCAGTCCGAAGGACTCTCAAGAGTCTTCTCCGACACCACAGTTCAAAAGTATCAATTTTTCCTCGGCTCTGATGCCTACACTTACCCGCTGTCTGTTCCTCCCTTCCCTTTTCCCCTTACCTCTGCCATCTGGACTCTAGCGCCCCCAAACGCAGTTGACCACACCCTGATCTGAACCGCCCAGTTTGGGGGAACCACTTACTGCTCTTGTCCACCCATCCCGTTTCCCGGCCAAAGAATGAGTTCCTCACAGTTTCAGAGCCTTGCCCAGTCGGGGCCCCGGCCTAGGAAGGTACTTTGCCCTTTCCGGCTTCTCCCTTCTGCCCCCTCGTGGAGGGAAGCTGGCAGAAGGACGCGCAACGCCCAGCGCCCAGCCGACAGCTCAGCGGCCCAATTCATAGTACGTTTCTTCCTCCCCATCTTCCTCAGGCCCTCAGAGCTTGCCTCGCGCTCCTCCCTCGCCCGGTCTCGGCCTCCTGTGCCTGGACTTCTCTTGGTTCTCCATTTCTCATTTGCCTGCCCGCCCTCCCGCCCCGATTCCCCTTCCCCATGAATCCTTTCTCACCCTGTGTGTGCAATATGGAGAAAGACTCTGTAAAAGGAAATAAATTTGTAATGCTCCACCTCCATCTGGCCCCTGCTTATGCTCCGGTGATGCACCTTTTTAAGGCTGCCTCCCCTGACTGGGGTTTCCCCCAGCTTTGCAGGATTTTGCTGGCTCCCTTCCCTATGCCACCAACCAGGAGCCTTAACTAGGCCTGTGAATCAGAGAGTTCTGGGTGGGGAGTCTGGTATGGCGGATGGCAGGTCCCAGAGCCTGGTGCGAGGCTATCTCGTCCTTCTAACGGGGCTGCCTTCTAGCACAACTGGAACCCTCACCTCCAGATATTCCTGGACACCCCTCCCATCCTCTGTACGCGTTCCGTGGACTTTGACAGTCTTCTATTTAAATGCAAGCAGAAACAGCTGCATTTGCATAGCGCCGTCTCCAACTCGGGATCCTGACGTCTCCCGCAGAGGGAGGACACGGAGGCTCCGAAAGACCCGAGTGACTTCCAAGTGGCTCACAATAGCTGGAAGCCAGGTGTCCCCAGACCAGAGCACACGTCAGAACCTCATTGTCCACGGACAATGGACAGTCCTTGTCCAAAGGGAGTCATTGAGAGCGGGCGAGGTGGGGGGCGGGGAGGGTGGGTGGGATGGAATCAAAGACGTCGACAGAGGAGGGCGACAGGGGGTGCGCGGGGGTGGGCCAAGGGGACAGCCTCTGTTCCCCACTTTCCCCAGTTCGGGCTGTGCTGGCCTGCGTTGCTTGGCTGCTTCCTGCGCCTGGCCGAGCTGCCGAGCCTCCCCGCCACTTCAACCGTGGCTGTGTTGCAATAAAACGGGCCCCTTAGCCCACCTTCAGTGTCTGTTTCACTTCTCAGGGAGGAGGGCTGAGATGCATTGTCCTCCCCCACTTCCCCAGCAGCCTGTATTAGAGAGGATCTCTAAGCCCTGTGGCAACGGGGCTAATGACTTCCTGGAGGGGAGCTGGGGAGGGCTGCTGGCCGTGGCGCGCCCCCACCCCCACCCCAGCCAAGCGGCAGAAAGAAGTGATTGCTCAGAACCGAGGCGGGCAGCGGCACGGCGCCTGAACCGGCCCCGGGCCTCGCTTTCCCCGGGACCGGGGACGGGTGTGTGTGTGTTGGGGTAGGGGGCGGTGGAGGGGTGGTCCACTGCAGTTTCAAATTCTTGCTCTTCTAAGCAAGTTCCCCGAGGCATCCGGAACCAGCCTGCCTCATCCCCACGACTCAGGGGTCCAACTCCCAGCTGTCGGCGCTCTCGTGGCCAGCGCGCTCCCCTTCTCCCCGTTCCTGGGTGGGCACCGCACCGGAGGGGCAAGAGGTGGAGGGAGCCTGGGCGCCGCCCCGCGGGAGCCGAGCTCCGGAGCGGCGGGGACTGCGATCCCGAAAAGTACCACGCGGGGGCGCCAGGACCTGCGCGGACGCGGGCGAGGCAGCGCAAGGTGGTTTCCGTCCATGTGAGTGTGTCCATGGGCGTCTTTGTGTGTCTGTGTTTCTGTACATGTGTGTACGAATCAGGGGGTGTCTGGGTGGGATGTATTCGGGGCTACGCGCCTGGCGTACCCCAGAACCAGGCACTTCAAGTGGCTTCTTGATAAGGACGATTCTTGATAGGTTACCATGTATGTGTGCATGGGGAGGTGGGGGACTCTGTATTGTTGCGTGCGCAAGGCATAGCCTGTGAGTCTTGGATTTTTGAAGTTATATTCCTTTAGGGCTTTTACCCCCTCCCATCATCCCGAGTAAAAGAAATCGAGGGCTCTCAACCTGAACCTCCATTCCACTGTCTTGGTTACATCTTCAACATGTGTCTGGTTGACTCTGCTAGACTAGGTGTGACAATGTGTTTGTGTAAGAGGGTGTGCCTCAGGATATCAGTGTAACTGTGAATGACAGTGGTGTGTGTGGCAAGTGGATGTTGGAGAAGTCTGGCTCAGGACTATGGAAATACACAGTCTCCTTTCTCTTGTTAGTTTGTGGCCACCATCTTCATGGTGTGATGGTGGGAAGGTGTGTGTGTGTGCCTTCCTTTCTCGGTCTTTCCAGTAGCTGTCTCTCTTTGTCTCTCCTCATCTCTGTCTCTTTTCCTGTCCTGGTGACTCATCTCTGCGGCTTTGCCCTCCCCCGTCTTGCAGGGTCTCCCCTCCCCCACCCAGGAGTGGGTGGGGGTATGAAGTAATAGGACCCTGGGATTAAAAATCAGGGTGAGGACCCCCTTCCTATTATTCATCCTTCCTAGACCCTCCAGTAGCCCCTAGCCTTCTTTCAGTCCCCTTCCCAGGACTCCAAACCCTCCTGAACTGGGGTGGGCAGGGGATAAACAATGATGCATTCTAATGAGGTCATTTCCAGGGGGTTCTTAAGCACCTTCTTTCAATTCAAAGTGAAGACCCCAGCCTCCCTCATAAAGTGCCCCTCCCTGCCGGTCCCCCCCCCCCCCCCCNCCCCCCCCATCCATCGCTGACGCATTAAAGGCTGCAGAGGTGAGTCACTGGCTGGGGGGAAGGGAAGAAGACAGGGGAGTGAGCTGCACGGTGGGGAGGGGGACCCAACCCCCTACCCTCTTCTTTCCCAAACCTTCTCAGGGAAAAGACCCAGGGCTCTGTCCCTCTTCCTTGGTTTTCCAAACCTTAAGCTTGGATCTCTACTTGGTTGGACCCCATCTTCTCTTAGCACCCTCCTGGAGAGTATGAGAGATTCAGAAACAAAGACACAGGGATGGATTTGTACAAGTATCTCAGAGCAAACAGGCATCTCCTCCTACTCCCCGTCTCAGCTTTGCCTTTTCCAGCTCTGTCTCTCTTTGCTCCTTCTTTCCTGCTATCTCCCTCCTCTCTCCAATCCCAGGAACCTGTCCCCAGCCCAGCTCTTTTCCAGAAGCCCCTAGAGGCAGTAGGATGTGAAAGGCACCGCACATCTTTGAGAGGTGGGCTGTGTGTGAATGAACTGACCCCGGGCAGGGAACTGGGGTGGAGAGAGGCACAGTCAGACCCAGAGATTCAGAGCCCATGCAGACATCATCTAGATGGTGGAATTACTAACACTGTTGCCCTTGGCATCTACCTCACTGTCCCCTCCCCCCATGCCATAATGACTGAGACTCTTGGGATGTCAATTTCTGAGAAGCTCCCCTGGACTTCTGGGCTGTGTGGAGGAAGAAAGGGTTGAAGAATGAAGGAAAGAGGGAATACGCTTAAAAAAAAAAAAAACAAGGGGAAAAGCTTGAACTTGGGGGCTGCAGAAGAGTGGATAAAATACTGAGACTTTCCTGCACAGAAATTTAGAGATGAAGGTAAATGTGGGGGAGGGGTAGGAAAGATCAAAGGCATGTAGAAGTCACAGAACAACATATATCAACAAGCACGGAAGGATCCAAAGAAATGCAGAAAGACACAGAGGTACACACACATTGTTGACGCACCAAGCCAGTTGACGCTTTTCAGACACTAGCAGATGCCCAGAGTGGATGCACTCAGACTCCCAACCACACAGGTATACAGGCACTCAGAGGAATCAGGACCCACAAACACTCTTAGTTACACACAGACACCTGGAAACAGGCAAAAACACAGCCCCACAGATTGAAAGAGAAAATTCACGTATTTGAATTGGAACACTCCCATGCCTATCCATTCTCTATCTGATTAAACACATAATTGGCCTCCCCATTCCCTTTCTTTCCACCCCTGTTTCGTTAATCTCTATACACACAAACACAGTGCATACATATGTACATGCACATACACATGCCCACGGGAACACAGTTTCTCTAGATGCCGTCTCCTTCATCTCACACTTGGTCTCTTAGCCCTGTCAGCCTCTCAGTCTGTCCCCCTTGCCTCCCTCCCTCTTTCCTTCTCTCTTGGCTGGCCTCCCCTCCCCCCACCAGATGTCTGAGCCATCTCTCTCTGATTCATCCTCCTCAGGAAGGTAACGTGACCCCCCCTCCCCATTCCACTGCTCTCAGTAACCAGGCATGGAGGATAAAGGGGAGGTGGGATGAAGAGGAATGAGGGGAACCCATA